GGCGGCCACAGGGTCAGATTTTCGTTTTTTACTTGGAACAAGGGTCAGATTTGTTAACACTTTCTTTTTTTATTTGGACAATGCATGCAAGCGGAGGGGCAAGAGTGGCTAGAATAGATTCTGCAACCTTCTCCGCTTGTTGGATAAAAATGTCAAGCCTCCGCATACATGCATCTCCCCTCCACCCTCCCGTGAAATGTCGATTTTCGAGATTAAAAAAAAAACAATAATTGCATTTTTTATTTCAATAACGCATGAGTAAATAGGGATATGAACGCAGATTTAATATAGGCCCATAGAATTACGGGGACCGGCAAGGATTTGGAAAGTCTGAATGCAAGTCCTGCTTACACCTAACAAGTGCTGAAGTGGGACATAACCAGAGGTAGAAAGGTCTCGGAAGCACTTGGGAAGAGGCTTCCCAAGACCTATCCAGTTCTGAACGGAGAGACCTAAGTAGAATTTGTCAGGTCCAATTATTCGACTCGGGCTGGGCCTTCGGACCCATTGAACAGTTTGTGATATATGCCGGAATATGGGAATAACTAAGGAAAATCGTGGACCCGATGGATTTTGTCGCCGTAGTTTTCATACGATTTTAACTTTTATTTTAAGGTTCGTTACACTCCAAAAAATAAAGTTAAGCAGCCGTTTTACTTTATTCGCAATAGACCATGAATAAATGAATTTTGAATTTCAAAATTTTTTGAAGTCTAGAGTAAAATTTATGAACTTCAAAATTCATTTATTCATAATCTATTGCGAATAAAGTAAAACGGATGCTTAACTTTATTCTTTGGAATGTAACGAACATTTAAAAAAAGTTAAAACCGTATGAAAACTACGGCGCAAGGAGCATTTTGAAGGTAAAAACAGGAAAAAGTGAGGTTTTTCGTGGTTATACGTGGCAAAATCGTTCGGATCCGCGATTTTCCCTATAGTTATTCCCATGTTCCGCTATATCACAAACTGTTCAATGGGTCCCACGGTCGAGCGTAGACTTGTAAATTTCACCGCGGTCTCCCCTTAACTATCAGCAATACTGGATATGAATTCTCCCGTAAACTGGCAGGTCTTAAATTCGAAAATCCAGGGATGAACGCTGTCCCACTGTCTCGAGCCAGAATGCATCTTCGGCTTTACTACCAATCTCTCAGTTTCGATTTCACCCTCTCCACCGGTTTTTATCACTCCAAATTCACCATCCTGGCAGAGGACAAAGCCGTCGGTAAACTCTTTCAAACTGACAAAGGAAATAGTTGAGACAAGAGTATCAGATCCCGGAAATAGAACCAACCGAGAAAAAAGTGGAATAATAGGATGAAGGAAGTAACGTTGATCTGTCTGCTTCTGTACTGGATATTATCCAAAAAGATGTTGCACAAAATGCCGAGTAAAACGTAAAGCTACTCACCCATGTCGTTGTCACCGGGCACCCCAAGACTGTCACTATTGTCGTTGATAAAGGCTTCCGCGGTTGACGTGAATGTCTGAGGCGATAGTGTAAGGTCTGGTCCGCTTTCACTATCGAACAGTTCCAAATTGCTGTTTCCTGAAAGTTGACACATTTGTGAGACAACATTGGGAGAGGGAAAACGTGAAACACAATTTATTTTGAATCCTTTTCGAGGAAATGAATTCGGAGTTGAAATCACGAGCAGTTTTACCCCGGAAGCTCCGTCCGAGCGATTTGTCAACTTATTCAGGATATGTATAACGGGGATAAAAATCGGAGAGTGCATTGGACAGATAAACATGGTGTTTCTGTCCAATGATAATTTCTCTGGTGGAAAATATTGATTCATCGAAATAACATAGTAACAGAAAAGACAAGCTTGTCTTTTCTGTTTCTAAAAACCCACTGGTGGGCTTTTATATTAATATAGTGTAGTTTTTTTTGTTAGTAAATTAGCAACGCTTCCGAATCGTCATTCTGTACATGATTTGCTTCTACAGTATATAATATTCATCATTACATATGATTTTAGTAAATTCAATGAACTTTCTTCTTTAATCAATTGAGTCATATTTTTAACTTAGTTTGATATTTGATGAAATTCCAAATATGAAATAATATATATCTACTAGGGGGCTACGCCTCCTCGCTCCGCTCGCCCACCGCCATATGACCCCCATGATGCTTATTCCTGGCCCTTATGACCCTGAATCTGACCCTCGCAACCCTTATTTTGACCCTTCCGATCCTTAGTTTCTGACCCTTGTTTTTTGACGCCCATGAGCATTTGGACTTTTACTCCGATCCTTGTGACCCGCATTTAGACGTTTAATTTGACCATTGTTACCCTTATTTGGACCCTTAATCTGACCCTTAAACTTATGGCCCTTGAACTGACCCATATGACCCTTAATATGATTCCCGTGACCCTCATTCTGACCTTCATGACCCTTATTCGCCCCCTCATGATCGTTATTTTGATTCTCATGACCCTTATTAGGACCTTAATGACCCTTATTCTCACCCTCATGATCTTTATCTTGATCTTCGTAACGCTTATTTGAAGCCTTGTGACCCTTAATTTTGGAGTACCAAATTTTTATCACCAAAAGTCGATTTATTCTATGAAAGTGAAGTCGAAGGAAGTTGTCTTTGACTTGAAATAAGTTATAATTGACATTATAACTTATTTCCAGTGAAATGGTCACGATTTTTTAGGCCAGTATCATGGACTTTCAGAGAATCATCTCCAATTTTTAAAAATCTGACAAAAGAAAGAGAAAAAAAAGAAAAAAATGACATATCCCTCGAAATTAAAAATTTTTTCTCTCTCTGATCGATGCCAAATTCATTTTATAGTAGATTGGCATCATGATTTCCGAAATGGCTAGCCCCTTGGAGCCATCTCGATCACTATGATATACTCAATGGTCATACTTTGAATTTTCAATCACCGAGATACGGATAATACAGCGGAGACACCCATAAACGCCAATCGGGCCTCGGTTGTTACTCATCATACACTGAAGATGGAAATGAATATAAACATGAATATGTAATACTACAGACCGGTTTAGGTACTACGCTGTTCACCGCTGCACGCAGACAGCGGCATTGATTCAAACCCAGGAGATGGTACGGGAGATTCAGCCGATTGATATATTCTGGAATTATGCATCTGCCTTTGGCTTGATGGGCACTCAATGCTTACCAGGATTGGCAACGACCGGACGAGTAAATACCCGTATAGTGATGCACGAGAATAAAGGGAGAATGGTGGAGTTAGTGGTGCTGTCCCATAAATCTGCCTCGTCGACGTTAAATGAAGGGATTTGCCTCACGTTAAATTGTTATTGATCAGTGGTCATCGGGAATATGAGGTTCTCCTAATCAGAATTTCTACTCTCGGGATTCTTCACTACCGCGAGCTTGTATTGTGTGTTACAACATTATCGACGTTCGCTCGTAGATATGTGAATTCAATTTTCATGGAATAAATGGATTCAAATTTACAGGTTTTATTGATTTTTCCATTAATCACTAGATTATTTAGGGAAGATTCAATGGAATTCCAAATTTTTGAGCAGTAGAAAGACTAGAATTGCCGAAATTGCTTCAATTCTGAATAAAAATATGAGTATTAAGCACACTGAGAAAAACAAACAGGCCAATAGCTGGACTCGAGCCAATATCTGGACGATTTCACCATTTATTGAATTACATATTACACTGTTGAAAGTTTTTGTCGGAAATTTCGGGTATACTTTTCGGAAATTTTTATCGAATTAAGTACCACTGAAATTTTAAGGAATTTCGTCATTGAAAATTCAGAATTTCGTGGAAAAATCGAAGAGAACTGGAAAATTTTCAGGAATTTTCAGGTGTTCTATTGCATTCAGTGTTACTGTCCTGAAAATTCCGGTAGATATATTCAGGAATTTTCAGGACAATAACACTGAATGCGATTTTAGTAGAAAAGAATCATGAAATTTTAGATTTCACTGACAATTCCGTGTAATTTGGCACTGAATATTCATACACTCTAAAAAAAGATTACTTCTGATAAGTAGGAAAACTACTTGTATTCAGTACCGAGGGGTTTCTGGAGAAAAGGTAATTTTTTTACTTGGTTCAAGTCGAAAATCGACTGAATACAAGTTTTATGCTCCAAGTACAATTGGCACTGGTGACAAGTACCAACTGTACTCATCATCAGTACTAAAAGTACGTGTACTGAGTACCGAGCTGTACTTCTCAAAAGTAGAAAAAATACTCGAGACAAGTAGTAATAGCACTCAAATCCAGTACTAATGGATTTTCGCGGAATATTACAGTAAAATTTATCATACACTAGAGATCGCTGAAAAACGAAGAATTAATGCAAATAAAATTATTGTTTATTGTTCATTTGCCCCTCAAACGCTTGAAAATTGAAATGTAGTCCAATGTAATAAATTCTCGAGCTACAGAGATTTTTTTTTCAAAATTTTTCAAAAGATGTGTAGAATAACAATTACCAATTAATTTTTCCAAATTTAATTTCCAAATAGTCCTTTTTTTAATAACAAAAAATGTAATATTCATGCGAAATAGCCAGTAAAATGATCCTCAAAATAATTGTTATATTTTATATTGAAAAAAAAATTGAAGTATTAATCTTTTGAGCTATCTTGTATAAAAATTGCAATTTCGTTATGCGACAAAGAATAAAATTGCCTATTTAGAAGTCGAATTCAAAAAAATTATCTCGTAATTGTTATTCTACACATCTGTTTAAAAATTTTGAAGAAAAAATACGTCCGTAGGTCAAAAATTGAGTACACTGTGCTATTTTTCTTCATTTTCAAGGTCTTGGGGGCAAATCAACAAGAAATAATCGTTTTTTTCCCCACTTATTCTTCGTCTTTCAACATATATAAATAATCGATCATCAATGTGTAATAAATCTTACTGCAATATCTCGCGATTTTGAAACTCATCGTAACCTCCCCTTGATGAAATTTGTTAATTGTCATCTGAGAATGATAATGATAATGAGAATGATAATTAATGATATGAAATTCCTCAACAAAATAACCAACCAAAAGTACTGGAATCAAGTCATAAAAGTACTCGCGAGAAGTAGAAAAATTACTTGCTCCAAGCATCAAAGGTACTTGTGAGAAGTAAGAAAAATACTGACAGGAAGTAATAAAAGTACTTCCTCCTAGTACTTTTCCTACTTGCTTAGCAAATATTGTACTTCACCCAAGGACATGAAAAGTACTTGGGACAAGCAGTTTCCCAACTTTTCACAAGAAAACTTCTCCCAAGTAGAATTCAGTACTAGTGAGTAGTAACTTTTTTTTAGAGTGTATTAGATTGGAAATTCAAATAAATTGAGGAATTCTCGTCTTTATGCCCCTTAAAATTCTGGAATTTTACAGAATTTTCAGTGAAACCTGAAATTTCATGATTTTTTTCCCCTAAACCGCATTTAGTGTCACTGGCCTGAAAATTAGTAGTCAACTGTCCTTGAAATTTAATTTTTCTCTAACAGTGTAATAGACCGATAAATTTTTTAGTCTCCAATTCTCAATTCCTGCCATTTATTCTATTTCTTCTATCAAAATACAAGGATAGAAATTTAATTTAAAAGTATTCTTCCATTATTCGAAAAAATATATTGATTTTAAAACTTTCCGGAGGCATTGAAAAATTAATTCTTTTATTTGTTCCCGCCAACGTTTTTTTCTGCATTTTATTCATTTCTTCTCATTAAAATTAGATCATAAATTCCGAAAATATTCATATCCAGTCCATATTCGAAGAAAAAAAAATGTCTCCGGTTTCTTTGATCAAAATACCCGAAAATGGCGTTGATTGCCTTTGATTATAAACGATATGAAGTGAATTTAAATGTATACTTATATGTTACATATTTTTTTGCTACGCAATTGAAGTCGTTTTGGGGTGTTTTGACCAAATTCGCGGAATTTCAAGAAGAAAAAATTGAAAATCAAGTCGATTGAGAACTATTTCATTGAGTCACTATTTCTGCGTAAAATTCTCGGAGTTCCTCACTCCACAGCTTCTTACGCTATCCGAGTTGAGTGTGGCAAAGTCCCTCTCTCTTTTATTTTTTTAAAGTATGCTCTCAACTGGTTAAGCAAGATCCTACAAATGAACCACGATCGCTTCCCAAGAATGTGTTTTGAACAGCTCATAAAACTCGATCATTGTGACAGCCGATACAATTGAGCCTCTCAGCTCAAAAAATACTTTCTACTTTGTAATTGTGAACACATCTGGTGTAATTTGTCGTCAGCAACGCTGTTAGAAGCCAAAAACGAAATTCTCCAGAAATACCGTGAAATCCTTGTCGCGAAGGACTTGCATAGCGTTCAAGTAAGTTCAAGTCTAACTTTATACAAAAGACTGAATTTGTCGGAGAGCCCTCATGCGTATCTCGCTTTGCCACTTCGCTCCGATGAGAAAAAAACACTAGCTAGGATTAGACTGCACAATGTGTTCACAAAATCTTTGTTAATTTTGAATCAAGAAATCTCTCTTAGGCAGGATGAACCGTGTGAGCTGTGTAACGCACTGGATTATAA